AGCTTAGTCAATTGAGCAAGCTTGCACGAGACTTCGATACAGCCAGTAAAACTGTTGAGGCAGATCGATTACACATCATGTTCCTTGCTATGACAGATGCAAGGGCTGTTCTCATAAAACTAGCTGATCGTTTGCATAATATGACTACTTTGGATGCATTACCATCTACAAAGCAGCAAAGATTTGCAAAGGAAACTTTGGAAATTTTTGCTCCTCTTGCTAATCGCCTAGGCATCTCAACCTGGAAAGAGCAGCTGGAGAACCAATGCTTTAAACATCTTAACCCGGATCAGCACAATGAACTCTCATCAAAACTCATGGATTCTTTTGACGAGGCTATGATTACCTCTGCCGTGGAGAAATTGGAGCAAGCGTTAAGTGATGGATCTGTTTCTTATCACGTACTTTCAGGGCGTCACAAAAGCTTGTACAGCATTTACTGCAAGATGCTAAAGTAATTTCTCTGCCCATTTAATACACTTTTAAAAGTTGCACCAGTGGATTTGGCTGATCAGCCAATTATTTAGTGCCTGTAGTTTATAGACAAGACATACATGTTATGTAGGGCTGTACTGTGTAGGAATCGTTTTTCTGCAGATTATTCAATATGATGATAATTACTTGCCATTGTCATTACACAGTTAGAAACTTTTGGATGCCTTGTGCATTCTGTGCAATGCTACTTTCTTACTAATGTTGCCTTTGTGAATTGTGACAGTTGAGCTAACAGTATTTTCATATTCTACAGGAAGAAGCTTAATATGGATGAAGTCCATGACATTCATGGGTTGAGGTTGATTGTTGAAAATGAAGAGGACTGCTATAAAGCACTTCAAGTTGTTCACCAGCTATGGCGTGAGGTACCTGGGAGGTACAAGGACTACATAGAAAAACCCAAATGCAATGGGTAAGCAGCATGAAAGTTTTGATTCTGCCGCTCTCTTTTCTTTCAAGTTTTTGCCCCTAATATGGATGTGTAATTTTTAGGTACCAATCTCTTCACACAGTTGTTCTCGGGGAAGGCATGGCGCCTCTTGAAGTTCAGATCCGAACAAAAGAGATGCACTTGCAAGCTGAATATGGCTTTGCAGCTCATTGGAGATACAAAGAAAATGACTGCAAGCACTCCTCTTTTGTTCTTCAGATGGTAGAGTGGGCTCGTTGGGTTGTAACCTGGCAGTGCGAGACAATGAGCAGAGACCAGTCATCTGTTGGCAACACTGAATCGATTCAGCCACCTTGCAAATTCCCAGCTCATTCTGAAGATTGTCCCTTTTCTTGCAAACCTGATTGTGGAACTGATGGGCCTGTCTTTATCATTATGATTGAGAACGATAAGGTCTCTATCTACCTGTGAATCCTGAAAGTTACAGAATTGATAATCATGGTGTCAACTATCAGGAATGTGTTTTGACACTGTTTTTCTTTGCAGATGTCTGTGCAAGAATTCGCAGCAAACTCAACTGTGAAGGATCTGTTGGAGAGAGCTGGCCGTGGCAGCTCTAGATGGACACCCTATGGATTTCCTCTGAAGGAAGAGCTAAGGCCAAGGTTGAACCATGAACCAGTTAGTGATCCCAACTGCAAGCTAAGAATGGGAGATGTTATAGAATTAACTCCAGCCATACCACATAAATCATTGACAGAGTACAGGGAGGAGATTCAGCGAATGTATGATCGAGGTGTAAGCCCTCTTCCTGCCGCTGCCAATACAGTAGTTGGTCTGAGGAGTTGACAGTTGATGTTTTTCCTTCTCCTAGATTAGGGTCCTCCTTTAATCTTGTACATAATTACAAATGATAAGCATTTGTACAGAACAGCCATGGTTCTGTTTATAAAAAGATAAATTAGGTGACTGATTTATTCAAGTCTTGACTTGCATTTGTTACTTTTGGAAATGCAGACTGCTTTTCCATTTTCCCTTATATTTATACCATGGTGTATCTCTCTTTCACCTTTTTTGATTTTTCTTTTAAAGCTGGATTGCAACATGAAGGTTTTACTTGTCCTGTGCTCGGTAGCAAGGATAATTTCCTTGTATGTTAATGTATCTGCTTTGATACCTGATTTCTCTTTTGGATCACCAGTTAGATTGTATTCGAACGAGTGAAGGGAAGATTCGTGTTTATTGTCTACTTATATACTGTTCAATTCTGCAATTAAATAAGTAGTTGAAACATAACAATCATCACATTATAAAGAAGCTATACATGAAAAAACAGGAGAGTTTCAAATATAGCAATACAATATTATTGGTTTTAGAGGAGAGAGAATACATTAAGATTAAGGCCAAGTGAACACTGAACCATGAGAGAGGAGTAGTTAATTTCCTTTGTATCCGATTCCAGTGATAATTCTTGACTCCAAATTTCGTTTCTCTGATTAATAATACTGATGACGAAATTAAATTCTGAGGTAACTAACATCTATTTCCACAAATATTGTCTCTGCCAGGAAAGCACACATAAGAGCATAACCAAAACACCAGCAAGACCCCAAGAGGAACTCCCAATTCTAAGCACAGCCGAAGGTTCTGGAGAAGCGAAAATGGAAGATGTACTTGCTCTTCCTCGTACTGATGATGAAGAAGTGCTTTTAATTGCAACAATTAATCCAGCCAGTAGAACAGGCAATACCATTCCCCCACAACTCCATCTCGTCTCGTAATAACTGCTCTCTTTCTTTCCTCGATCCACATATAATGGCGATAGAACAACAGCGGAAACAAGGGCTAGAACCATTGCTACTCCTCTATGCGAAGAATATTGGTATGAACTTGATGCATAATTCTCCATATTGATCAAAAGGTCGTTTGAATCAAACCTTCAATTGTATCGATGATAGTGGAGCATTATATAATATATATAGAGAGAGAGAGAGAGGGACAAGATGAGCTATCAAAGGAATGTAGGTGTAAAGTGATGATAAAAGTGACCGAAAAATTAAAGCCGTCCAAAAAGCAGCAAAAGAAGAAGATTAATTATTTAAAAATAAGACTTGGGCAAGAAGAAAAGGCAAAATGTGAAGGAAAATGGTGAAGTAAGGTATATAGAAGTGGATCTTTTTTTACTTTTTTCTTGAAAAAGATGTTCACAATTGACAGCAAAAGTTGAATTTCTGGTTTACTTAAACAGTGTAATGGAGAAACATCTGGCACTGAATATTCATTTTTTTTGCTATTATTATGAACTGGGGACTACATTGGGGAGGAAAATAAATGAAGCTCTTTTCACTTTCTTTCTGAATTTTGATTACTTCATTCAAACAGACAGGCATGGTTCGTCAAATATATTTTTCTTTATATCAATGATTGAAGAAAATGTGTTATATTTGATTGTGAATCATATCTCTCTTTATTACATGATGGGTTTGCACATTGTTGCCACTTGCCCCCTTACAGGTGAAACAGAAGGTGCTGGATCAACACCAACCACATGAAATTTTATTGAAAATGTAATTCATTTGATTAATTTAAATTCGTATTATGGGATCACATTTTGAAAGTAAAGACGACTTCATATAATTTGAAATTTCTACTTATGAATACTCGTAAATATTTGAGGGTCCACGATAATTGCATAAATTGATTATGAAGAGGAAGGAAAACCTACCAAAAGCTCATAACTCAAAGTCCTAAGAGGCCCTACTCCAACCCGTTTAATGTGCCTTTGTCGTCTCATATATATTCACTTCACTTAATTAATCTACTCATATTATTCACGCAAGGACAAAGGAGTCATGGTCCTATTTTTATGATTTTCTTTTATTATCACCTTGTTTTTTTACTACTCATTTGGAATATCTGATATAAGTTCACAGTTTAGCCAAATTCTGATGTCTTATATTGCAAATTGCAATTTATTTTTTATTTCTTCCATAAGGTTCCTAAGTCACAATTCACTCATAATGGGCCGCTGGATCGTACACCCGTCACTCCATGAAGTATAAACTACTCTCCCGCTTTAATTTTATTAAATTCGGTTTAAAAAAAAAAGACTATATCTTTCTTTTTATGGCAATGTAACTTTATAGTTTCAACTTTCTACATGACTTATACATTTAAATACATACTATATATTGAACAGTACAAAATCAAAATCGTTTTTACTATCTTAAACTTCATGTAAAATAAAAATCAATTAAAACGGAGAGAACAAGAGATTCTCCAGTGATCTTTGATCAAAATGGCTACAATTGTTACACGTCTGGATCGCTCTGAGAACAAAAACTACCCATTAATTTCAGTGTCCAAAAGGAATCTTGTTTACTCATACAGTGTCTAACAACACAGATATCAATCTGATGAAATAGTGCCATGTCACCATGTCCACAAGAATCAATAGACTTTGCCGAGTTAAAAAACTTTTTTGGAGTATTTATATTGACTTAATAGTGATGCAGTCCATTTATAGGAAAAAGTACGAACTTGTTCTAGATTAAGTTAATCCCAAAGTGTAAAATTTTAATTGTGATACAAATATCGTAAAATCTAATTACGATAAGAAAAATGTTGTGCATACAACTCTATTATAAATTGGCAGATACAATATGTAACTCTATAATTAAAAAGAAAGTTAAATGTCACATTGTCGAGGTCGATCTACAGCCATATAAGAAATCAGTAATTGGGGGTGCTATAGCACCAAGTTATTTTCAAAAAATGAATTAAACGTGATGAAAAAAAATTCTCTTATTTAATGTTAGCACCACACGAGAAAATAAGTCTCATATTAGTCAACTCCAAAAAAAGGTCTATTTTTATATTTCAAAATTTAGCTTCAGACCATAAAATTTGAAGTATACCTTTAATTTAAGATTATGAAATTAAAAAAAAAGTTCTTTTATTTTTACTATATATATATATATATATATATATATATATATATATATATAATTAAATTATAACGAGAGGATCAAAATTTAATGGGGAAAAGAAATAGTATAGAAGTCCTATATATTATATTAGTAAGAGGTAGGCTAGGTAGATCAAATCCGTTAGGCAGTGATGGAGAGTCTGCGCCTCTGCTTCCATAATTTCTTATCCTACCATCTCTCCATCATTGTTAAAATTTTCCGGTGGTTATTCTCCCCTTTACCTACCATCAAACGCTTCCCTCTCTTCGTCCCTTTCATCGACGCATATATATCCCTCTTATTCCGATTTTCCAACTTATCACCATGCACCCTCGATCTAGACGACCAAACCACCATCCATTTCTGGGCTCCCAATCACCGCCGTTACGACAAACCAAATCTCGTCCTCATCCACGGTTACGGTGGTGATGCCAAATGGCAATTTATGTACCAAGTCAAATCACTGGCTCAATCGTTCAACCTCTACATTCCGGATCTATTATTCTTCGGTAAATCGTATACGACTCGGAAGGAACGGACGGAGGAGTTTCAGGCGAAATGCGTGGTGCAAGGGTTAAAGGAATTGGGAGTGAGAAATTGTTCGATGTTTGCGATTAGTTATGGGGGATTTGTTGGGTATCGAATGGCGGAGATGAATCCGGAAATGGTGGAGAAAGTAGTGATTTTGAGTAGTGGAGTGGGATGCTCGAAAGATCAGAAGGAAGAGCAGTTGAAAAAAATTGGAAGAGATCCGGTTGAATTGCTAATACCGGCGAAACCAGAGGATCTGCATGTGCTCGTAAACTTGTCAATTTACAAGTATAATCCTTTCAAGTGGGCCCCTGATTACTTTCTCCAAGAATTCATTGATGTGAGTACCTGGCCTCCTCATCATTCTTCACTAAAATTTACATTTGGTTCCACACAATTTAAGAAAGTGCCAAAGATTTATAAACCGCATTTCAAAATATTCAATTCACAAGCAAATTGACAAGAGTGGAAATACTAATTAATTGACATTATTGAGTGATATACTACTATTTTAAGATAAATTACGTGCTTCAATGATTGGTTTTGACTTTTGCTACCATACTTCTGGTAATGGAAGTGTATTTTTGTTATTTTGTTGTTGCATGCAAACGGAGATATATATTTATATGTATTTGATGTTTAAATTAAATAATTTCCACTCATCATAATTAACCTATTAGTATTAATTAAGTTTATGATAATTAATTATGATTGAAATTTATACTCAAGGTGTGGGTATATACTTACATACCTGGAATATTCCTTATTTTTAAAGGACTGTTTTTTAAGCACAGAGTTTTGTAAGGTAGGTTTAAAATGAAAGAAAATGTTTTCACTAAAAGTGCTTTTCTGAAAATAAGTGACTATTTTGCTTGTTTTTTGGTGTTTGCTAGAGTAATAAGTACTAGTATAAACCGAGGCGGATTCACGTGCACCCGTTAATTTCGAAAAAAATAATTGATAGAAATTAAGATATAATTAACAGTGCACCCATGAAAAGCACATGAGTGTCATTGTCCTACTAGTACAAGCTAAAGGATTCACCCGTGAGACTGGGTTCAAATCCAGCCATAGCGTTTATTTCACTGTTTTTATTTTAAGTTTATCTTAGTGCTCATGTTTGAGCTAAGGTAATATAAGTGCACCCAAAGTTTTCAAATCTTGGATCCGCCTATGAGTATAAAAGATATTGCTCCAGGGAATTTATATACTCCACATACCTTTATGTATATAATTAAGCAAATACTATCAGAGTGGGGTTGGATGGGATGTTGAGAGGTAATGAGTGAAGTACAATTATTAATTATACTTTTTGTACTTCGGAATCATTTTCTTTATTTTCAAGGAATTTACAAACACACTCCGAGTTCACTGATAATTATAACAAATAAAGATTACAGAGATGTAAAAAGTGGCTCTCTTGATGCTCTTCCTGTATTGTTTGAAGATGATAAGTAGGACTTACCTGAAGGAGAAGCAAGAGCTGGTGCACCACTTGATGTCCAATCATACAGATTGCAGATTGCCCATCCTAAATCAGGTCAAACTTCTCCCCATATTCTTTAACAAATCAACACATTACAGCAAAAACTTCATGGATGTGAAATCATTCTGTTGACTATATGTATAATCATAAAAATAACTTGTTTTTTGTTGCTTGATTTGGTGTACAGGAAACTCTGCTTATTTGGGGTGACAAGGACAGAGTCTTCCCTCTTATGTTCGGCTACCAGTTGCAAAGGTACTTTTAATCCTGATTTATATGACTTACTTTTCTTTTTTAGTGGACTACTAGATTCCTCATGCTGAATTTGTATTAACTTGTAGGCATTTGGGGCCAAGAGCAAAGTTGGAAATAATAAAAAACACAGGACATGCAGCAAACATTGAGTCTCCTGATTCTGTCAATGCTTTGATTAAAGCCTTTATCTTGCCGCAAAGCAAAGACTTAAATGGTTGAAACTGGAGTTAATCTTGATACTGCTAGGCTTAGCTGGGGGTTCTTGCTCCCTATGTTACATATCTCTATTACGTACGGTACTGTTTGTAAATAATGGGACTTTGAAGTATTACGAAGTCTCCTAGATGATATAAAACAAGTTAATTTAATGTACGTTTGATGAATAGCATCAACCTGAATGGAATCAGCTTAGTTTTTGACTTGTTGCCTCTACAAATACACTTATGAAACACGTCTAACGTGGTAGTAAGGAAGTACAATTTGACTCAAAATAGCTAAATCTTCCATAATGAGCAGAATGAAATTGGCAGCCCTTTCCACCATAGATCCACACAGCCATCTTTCTCCTCCACCCTCATCTCCCAATTGCTGTCATACTTCCTCAGCAAAGCCCGAGCTCCGTCAATGGCATCTTCACCAAACACCTCTTTTACAAAACCAACGCTCCTCATTCTTTCACACCATTTCTCCTTCCTTTCATTCATTTCTCCCATGTTCGTCAACGCCTTTGCTGCTTCTCCTTCCATCATCCTCCTTTCTTCGCTCTCCCGCCCTTTGTAGGCCACACTCGTGGAATCCAAAAACCTCCATAAGTACTCCACTCGCCTTGAGAACGTTGTCGTAAAGTCCCCACAGCTGTTGCAGCTACACTCTGTGTTGTTCTCGCTGAGAACTAAGCCTTTCGGGTCCAAACTCTTCAATATCTTCAACAAATCTGTTCGATCATCCGGGATAGTATGATTCAAGTTATGCAGTCTAAATTGAGCACAGATGACTAAGGTTTCATCAGATGTAGAATTTATGATTTGGGAATTGAGATTTTGAAGAGGAAAATTGTCCAGTCTGTTGATCTGTAGATTAATGTTGATAGCCTTAGCATAGGCTAGTAGTTGCGAGGAAAAATCGTAACCAGGTGGCCCGATCACAAATGGATTGCCTCTCAATTCTCCGTTTTCTGTGGTGGGTGTAATAACGGTCAGGCGAACCAGTGGTGGCGGTCCACCTGACCGCCTAGTCAATTCTTCAAGAAGAGTTGGCCATTGAAAACCATGAGAAACTCCAATATCAAGGATATGAAGGTTCTTTAGCCGATCCTGTTCTCCAATTATTTGGAGAACAGATGAATTCGCAATGTTATTGGGGATTCGGAACCAGGGACTAATGTCGATGAAATTGATCAATGAGTCCCTGAAGAATTTATGATTCGCAGAAGAGAAATTAGTAACTCCAATAGTTCCAGAGGATGCTGATGATGAGCCAGGGGAAGACAAATGATGTGTCAAGGCGCGGAGTCCATGAGCAGCTAGCCTGTGGTTGGCGTCACCTGTGAAAGACGCCAACTCATGGAGAACGTACAGCAGATGTTGCACACGGTTCATGTTACCGACAGTGATTGCAGCAGCACAAGGGTTGAGCAAATGTTCTGCCCATCTTCCTTCTTTGTTGTTACTGTTATTTCCGGTTGATTTTGTTGTTACTCTCTTTGGTCTTCTTACTTGCACTCCTCCTTGATCACCTATAATATGAGCATTTTCTGCCTCATTAATCTGACGGTTATGATTTTTCTTTGACGTCTTCGGATTTTGATCAGATATTTTCCTTTTCTTAGACAGATCCACCGGCTGTGGATGATCCAAAATGATGGGCTCCAAAGGGATATTGCTAATAGCTGTGTTGACTGGGGAGCTAATGTTGAATGAGTTACAAGTATTGTCGATGATGATGTTGTGATTAACGATCTGATCATCTTGATCAGGAACCCACCATGAGTCCGCATAGAAATTTAAATCATCGGTGTAACTGTAAGGTTCATTGAGGAAGGATGGAACATCGGATAAAGTACTAGCTAGCCACTCTGATATGGGATCAGAGTTGGAATTAGGCTCAGGTTCTTCAATGGCCATTGTATCACAAAAATTGTGATGAGAAAGGATGTTTTGGTGTTTGGTCATTGACTATGCAAATAGAGAAGAGTTTATGATGTGAATTTGTTGTGTGGAATTGAAATAAGTGATGTAAAACAAATGGTAACAATAATTTTTTTTTGAGGAACAAGACAGGATGGGGCATTTTTTAGAGGCAAAATTGCTGTTATTTTGGAAGTTATGCTGTTCTATTCTGATATTATTTGTTTAATTTAAGCTGGTAATCTTGTCTCTGATTCGTGCTGTTATTTGACTTATTTTCTGGCGTGTCACGATTGTTCACAGTGTTATCAACAACACAGTTGGAGGCACTAAACTAATACTCCCTCCCTCTAAAAATATTTTTTTTCTAAAGTTCAAGACGAAATTAATAAAAAGGAATTCCATTTAATTTATCTTTAGTTGTAGTTGTTTTGAAGGCTACAAATACTGACACACAGAAGGCTCCTAATTAATATTCAACATGTAAATAAAAAACACGACAAGTATTTTGAGACGGAAGGAGTATTGTTTATCTGAGTTTCCTGGATAGTGACAGGTTTTTGTGTTAGAAATTTCAGAGGACGGCAATCTCTTCATCACCGTGATTATTTTAATGGTGTTTTTGTTTGATATTGCTTTCTCCTAGGCTATTGGCTGATGCACTTTTGGCATCTTTCCCCAAATTAACATTGACCTCTAAACAACTCATAATACTAGTCTTTTCCAAGAAAATAATTGTTTTTTTGATCTACCAAAGATCCTATTATTAACACACCATTTTCAATCTTTATTGCAACTTCTTTACAAAATCAACAGAATACATAATATGTAACTGCGTTAAGATATTCTTGTTTTCCCAGTGTTAAATAAGTTGTGAGAGTTAGTTGGTATATATTTACTCACACTCGGGTCGTTTGGTTTGAATACTAATTATGCTGTGATTAGTTATGTTGGGATAAGTTATACTGGGATAAGTTATGCTGGGATTAGTTTTTATTGCTTATTTAGTTTGTCATATTCAAACTAATATTCATTGTATAATTTTTGAGAATAAGTTGTTTGTTTACAAAAATACCCTCACCTTATTTAGTTTTTTTTTTTTTACATTTTCTTTGCAAAGCTTTAGTTATTCATTCTTAAAAATAAATTTTCCATCTTATTTAGCTTAAATATTTTTGTGTGTGCATTTCCATGATTGTGTCGTATGTTTTGCCGTATGTTTTAAAATTTAAACGTTCGTCTTATTTAACTTAAAAATTAAACTTTCATCTTATCTAGCTTAAAAATAAAATGTTCATCTTATTTAGCTTAAAAATAAAACTTTCATTTTAAGTTTATTAAAGTAAAATAAAATTTATTATTAAAGTTATCTACATTTTAATTATAGATAAAATATAATTATTAAGTGAGTAATAAACATAATAATCACACAAATAAATTCAACTTATAATATATTCATAAATAAAAATTGTATTTATAAATGTAAATTTTTAATAGAAAAATATATTTATCATAAAAACAACAAATAATTAAGGTTGTGAATGTTATTATGTTGTTAAAAATTATGTTAATATGTATGAATGTAAAAGTGGTGTATAAAAGAGAGTTTAAGGGGGGTATTTTTGTTAATTTACACAGGATTACTATACCACCCCCGGTGAGGGATAACTTATCCCAGGACTAATTGTTAATCCCGGGATAAGTTATCCCTACCTTTGTAGCCAAACAATGAATTAAAGGCCACTAAAAAGTTGTCCCATGATTAATTTATCTTATTCATCACACCAAACGACCCAAAAGTTATGTCAGTATTTATGTCTAACTTTGCAATGACATGAGATTTTAATAATTAAACGTTAAAATGAGAACAAGTTTGCGATAAATATGGGGATAAGGCAAAAGTACCCTCTTCAACTATAGACGAAATTTCAGCGACACACCTTAACTATACATGAGTCCTATTGCCCCCTGAATTATTTTTAAGTGTAATAAACACACCCTAAAACCTCTATAATCACTCACATGAAGGGAGGTATCTTACATTCGCCTCCACATCATGTCAGCGCCACATCATCAATTTGTTAGATATTTATAATTTTTTTAAAAATTCATGTTATTTTATTCATTCTTCTTCATTACTATCCCTACACCCACCATAACCACTAAAACACTCTATTTCCACCATTAAAACTCATAGCAATCACTATGAAAATTGTAACCCACCATCAAATTCATTCCTTCTCCACCACCAGATTCAATGTCTACTATCAAATTCATTTTTTTTTACCGCCAACTGTTTCTCACTCAAATATTATTTGGGCAAGATGAAGTAAAGGACAATCGAAGAAGATGGTGTATTATTACAACAGAGAATCGAAGCGGAACTAAAGTGGGTTGGGTGCTATATTGACAGAAAACTGAAGCGGGGAGGGTTTCTATATCGATGGGCGGAGAGATGAAGTAGGCGGTGGAGTGATATATCTACGAACGGAGAACTGAAATTGGGTGGGGGAATTGGGATATGACATCGATAACTGAGGAGGAGAGGATAATTAAATTTTATTTTTTTAAAAAAGAAAGTTTTAATTTAAATTGTTCTCATGATATGTAGCTTATTTTAAATCTCTAATATACAAAATTGTTTTCCTCATTAGTGAATTTCATGTCAAGTATTTGAGTAAAAAATTAAAAGAAAAAGAAAAAGAAAAAGTCTTTCGATATTATACAAATTGATGAAAAATACTGAAAAAATCCACCAACAATTTAAGTATGTTGTGAAAAATTTAATTGTATTTCTAAAAATGATAAAATTTGACTCTATTTCACAATAAAAAATAGAAATTTAATTAAAAAGATGTCAACTTAAATCTTAATGTTAATTCATTATGTGTACTAATTAATTGTGAAAATGTGCAATTGAAAATGGACCCATGTCCATAGTAGTTCGATTTTAATACTTTTTTTTTGTCTCTCACATGCCTCCAAGAGAGTGAGCACACTCTACGTGCCACCTTAGCGTCGAAGGATATATTTATTACACTTTAAAACAATTCAAGAGGTAATAGGACCCATATATAATTAAGGTGTGTCGCTGAAATTTCATCCATAGTTGAAGAGGGTACTTATGTCTTATCCCATAAATATGTGTGTGCAATTAAACTGTACATATATATTCATTTGATATAAACAAACAATTTTTATCATGCCACACATAGTTTGGACAAAAAAAAAAGAGATAAACATAGTCAGTCGGATAGAGTTTTCTCAGTGCATTTGTAGTACCCGCATCCTTTTTTCAATATCGACCAAGTTATAGCTGGCCCATTTAGTTTGTGGATCCTAATGATCAGGAGGATCAATAGGTGTTTTTTTTACTTGATAAGATTATTGAGCTATTATGCTTTCTTCACAAATGGATGTCTGCTTACGGATTGTCATTGCTCAATCACTTTCTTTTTCACTAAATGATTGCTTTTAGTTGAACGAAAGAAAGGTGTTGTGAGGTTGATGATGGTTGTTTTATTAAAGAAGAAGATAAAGGTAACAAAACATATATGGAAAATCATTTTTTGCCAGTTTTTTTTTTTTATCTAAACTGTATATTAAGTATTTGTATTTTTTTATTTGAACTATTGCGAACTACTTCTGTCATGTGGACGAAAGTATATATGCAAATTATGTTATCATACTGGCGATACTTGGTATAGTCGTGATAGTTTAGGAAAAGAAAAACCCAAGCAAAAAGTGATACATTTTCTTTATCTCATTAAAGAAATCAGTACTGTCATTAGCGGCTAAACCTTAATTACTGTTATATAAATTTGGGATCTTACTCGTTCTACCCATCCTTACAAATAAACTCATAATTTGAATTCCTCTTGTCTCATGTAGTCATGCGCAGTATAATTTCACATAATAGTCATACTCGGGAAAAAAAATGTGTTCATTTCCAAACAAACAGAACTTTAAAGAAACAAAACAACCTTAGAGAAAAAAAATACAACAGACCCAATTTGTCAACAAGAAGAAGACAAGGAAAATACCCAAAAACAGAATGAAAAAAAGAAAGATTAACAGCTAACACAATGCAATTGTTGCTTAATTAGTGCCTCCAAGCACACCCTTAAGTTTCTTAATTGTTGCTTCATCAAGGAATGTTGTTGCCCCAACCAACTTGGTTGGCAAATCATTAGCAAATAATGCAAAATCAGTAATCTGAAGTCCAGGATTAGAGCTGCTAAAAAATACATAACCCACAGAAGTATATCCAGCATCACTTACTTGAAAATGCAATAATCCTTGTGGAAAAACCATTAAATCACCTTTTTTAAGTGTTTTTAAATAAACAGAATTTGCTGATGAAACAAATCCAGCAGTAATTGATCCTTGCACCACAAGTAAGATTTCAGAAGCACCAGGGTGAGTGTGAAATGGGATCACCCCCTCTGCGGCCAAATCTAAACGGGCCGCAGAAATCCCAAGCCCATTAACACCTGGAAATTGGGCCGCAAATGCTGGGGTGACTGCGGCCTTGATAATGCTTGCTGTGTTTCCAGCAGCACTAAGCCCAGAAAACACGAAATCGTCAACTGTTACATTTGTAACACTTTTGCAAGAATAGCCAGAAGGTGATTCGGGTGCTTTTAAGTCTGCCACGCAGAAATCTTGAACAGCGGCATCGCTGCTCAAGATTAAGATAGCCAAGAGAAAGAGGAATTTAAACATTTTTTTTTAAAAAAAAAATCTTGGCTAGGATTAGTAAAAATTTGTTATGTGAAGTTTGTGAGCAAGGAAGGTTAGTTTGTATGTGTGTATATATAGAGAGGGAAATGAGTGAGAATTTTGGATATTGAAGTGCAAAAAGGGCAAATTAAATGCCACTTGAATTTCTAAAGGGAATGGTAACCACAAGTTGTGTGATAGGGCTATCGTGAGTGTGTTTTGTCATCTCCTTGGAAATTACGTTCACTAGCCACTTTTTGTTCCTATTTTTGAAAAATAATTAATGTTATCGTAAAGATATGACATACGGGCCTAATTTAATCTCCAGAATTTAGCTCTTGAGAGCAAGATTGTCCGAATTCAAATAAGTAAACCACCAGTTTATTCCCTAATTAAAGTAGGACTGTAATCCACTCTAACAAGCTTATTAGGAAATTCACTATGTGCTACTCACATTAATAGAATATTTATAGCAATCTAACTTTTATTTGTGGTTGTGTCTTCAAACTATCTTTAATTGGTAAAACTTCTCGACATTATGGGCAAAGTCAGTCCCCAAATACAATTATGTGATGATATTGTTCGTTTTTTGTTAAACCAACACAGTATTAAGAGTAGCCCTACACCTTATACGTAGTTTTTTCTTCGTTTTTTTTTTCAGCTCTCACTACATCACAACCAACATTTTCAGTTGAAGAAATAGACAAAATAGGGAAAAAGAATAGAAACAAGGAGTATCTTTTTGGTGTTATATACATTACTTATTAGATTATTAAGAGGTGATGTGATTTTGGGATATTTTGATTTCCAATTTGAAAGGTCCGACTTCAATCATCGAAAAATCATTTCAAAGAGTAATGATCGCTTAGTGCATTGTTTTATCATGGCTACATGTTTCTCTTCTATATTTTTCTCACAATACAAATGATATACAAAGTTCAATGGGGGCATCATATGGCCTTTCTTTAGGCCACTTTTCTAATTCTAAAATTAATTCAATGGGGTTTAGTTTCGCCTTTAAAGATTGTTTGTATAATTTATTTATTTATTTATTTATTTATGTAAATAAATTTAACCAAGTGAACTAATACAGACATATATAATTTAAACAACAAACTCAACAAAGGTAAGTATTCTTGAGCTGAATGTCAATCAGAAATATCATTTACTATCATCTTTTGTGGAATACACCGACTATGTTATTGTTGTAAAAAAAAAAGAAAAAGGCAAGTACTGCAAATGCCCATAAGATGAGGGAGTTGATTTATTGAAAGTGGTCCTAATTTAGGGCACATGGTGAGAAAAAGTAAGGAAAAGGAGAAGTCTATAAGAAGACATATGCTGACAGCTCGAATCCAGAAAGGCATCAAAGAGATAGTTGTAAGATATATGTATGCATAATAATGCAATATTGTAACTTCCTTATTAGCTAGAAAAGGAATTATGTGGACAATAGCAATTGTCTTTCCACTAAAGAATATCGATCACCATTGAAGTCATATACACAAGAGGACAAACTAAGCAGAAAATTTTAACATTGATTAACGTCTGATATGGTGCAATGCTACCTTGTAACCAGGGGGGAGTTGGAAATTTGAGTTTAGGGATTTTTTAAACACAAATATATTTAGTTTGAAATTTGGATCAAAACTATTGAATTATGTTGATCTATTAACAGAATTGTAGCACATAATATGTTCTGCTGTTATTCAAATTATTTCTATAGCACATAATCCTCAACCATCTTTTAGGACCGGTTTCTTGTTGGTTAGCTAGGAAGATAATTATTCATGAATTGAAAATAACATAGTTAATAACATGTTTGATAGTCATTTAGTACATCGCTTTGTATAAAATTTACATACTAGGTACGGTCTTTGATTATCATTTTACAATCCCACATAATTAAAATATCTGTAAGTATGAATCAATTGATGTATTATTTTACAAAGGGTACGGTACATAGAAGATGGGAAATAACTACTACATTGCAAAATTTCTTACATTACTAGTATCTACCTAAATCTAATAAGATTCTATGGAATAGTATTCTCAACAAACATTGACCCTCTTCCAAAAGTTATAAGTATGCAAGGAAAGATAAATGGGAGTTACAAATCAAAAATATTTTGAATTTTGCGCACAAACGTACAAATGTAATAGGAGTATCTAATAATAATAACGTTGCTCTAATGTACTGGCGCACCTTGTGAAAAGCCATAACAGATTTAGAATCACATGAAATTTGATTTTTGTTTTGTCCAACATAAAAATATGTTCAAATGTGGTTTGGGCTAAATAACATGATACTGGATCAATGGCGCTAAAAGCCTAAAAATAGCTTGTGGATTTCGACAGTATAGGTAAGGCAAACCAAGCATAACAACTTAAGGCACAATTGCACAGATAGCCAATTTTAGGACACCTATTTAAAGCAAAATTCACAACAACAAAATACTAGTGATAGAGTGTACAGTATTCACAGTAAATCACTGGATGTACTTCATATCCAATCAGTAATATACTTAAGAGTTTCGTGTGTATGAGAAAGAAGAAGACCAGCAGTGCTTTTATCTAAAGTTTGTCAAAACTGGCTATAAGTTAAATGAATTGAAAAAATTGGATATAGCTTAAATAGCAGGTGGGAATCTGGTTATCAGATGCAATTCCTACATAACTTAATTAGAGACAATTTGGGCTACACCCATCACAACAAGACTACCTGCCAAAGTACAACCTTTTTGTTGAAACTCAATAGACCATCAAGCTATAGAATTATAGAAAAGGCCATTCGCATAATGTCCTTATTTTGGGGTTTCAAATTTGTGATTTTTAATTTTTGTATAAAAAGAATGACCCAGATATACCCTGACATAGAAAAAACAAAAAACAAAATCGTAAGACATGTTTTTATTTTCATATTATAATATAACACAAGTGCTGTCACTTTGTTTCTACATAACATGAGTTGAAAGAGACATAAGTTCAATTATAGAACCCACAATAAGAGGCATAAACTTATCCTACAGAATTTATGTCAGACCTAATGTCCAAGATAACTTCATTCCTACAAAGTTTGTGCTGAACAAGGCAAAAGTTCTCTAAACCTTGTGACATTCTCTTAGGTCAAGAAAATCATACAACCCATAAAACTCATGCCACAATGCATAAAGGAAAAAAAGGATCGACACTTATTCACATTATTACAAAAAGAAACATAATTCAGATTAAATAATAAAGATAACCTGTATTTAGTGATGTTTATAACTGTTCAAGTCAGATACATTCTATATATATATATAACAATATTATAGTTATAAATAACTGGTTTTCTTGGTGTTCAATCTCTATGGTACAAATCATCATTGCAGCTCGACAATGAAAAGTCATGCCTCTAACAACAAGTATCCTTGCCTCCCTACAAGCTACAAGGTCCACATCTTACCAAACAGAAAATAGGTAAATCTTTAATGTCCTTCAAAACAAATCCAGGCAACTTCCTTACAAATGATAAATGAGGCAACTTGTCATCTTAAAAATTTCCTTTATCACCTACAATATCAAAGATTAATAGTCAAGAATCCCCATTTTGTAGACACACACTACTGTAATCAAGAAATATTACTTACTAACAAATCCAATTTAAGTTGGTTGGAGTTAATGTCAAACTAAGTTCTACTACAAATTACACACCCCTCATTCATGGAAGCAAGCATCATGTTCTTCTGAAGTAAAAAGAGGATTACTTCAGTTTCAGACTCCACATCTTAATCCATTTCTCCAATACCCTTTTCTCCCGGAGTGTTCATCTTCTCCCATACCTTTAACTAGTTAGTTGCAGTAGACAGATTAGGAATTCGACAATGATCCTTCGAAATTTCAGTAAACTGATAAACATACTACTCTATTGTTTAGATGTCCAACAAAACTTTACAAGTGAGGTTTCTAAAACAAATCCACCATCTTTATTCTCTTGTAAACAAGACTTTTATTTTTGCGATATAAATATTCTAAGTTATGCTACAAAGGTACACAACAAGCAACCAAAATATGTTCAATCAAGTATGACCTAGATAGGCAGTAAAAAGAAGGGCAATGGCAAATGAATATTAAAAATCACAGTGGATTTTGCAAGATGCTTTGTGCACCGGGCTGCCCCTTTTACAGTAGATTTTGCGAAATTGCAGAACACAAGCCTCTGTGTACTACATTCTACCCTCCCCAGACCTCACTTGTGGGATTTCACTAGGTATGTTGTTGTTGTTGCAGAACACAAGCCTCATGACAATATATAGAGAAATATTCCACAAAAAGGAAGCAATGATGCACAGCACATGTAACTTTGAAGCATATCTATATTCAATAACTTTAGATCACTGGTGGAGTCAATCATTACTTTAGGCCCTCGTTAAACGAAAACTTCACCCAAAGTAACAGCTTTAATACAAGGAGGTAAACTACCAAATAATGGCACAGAATAGAAAACATCAATTAGCCGTAGATCATTCACAGAATCATAAGGAAAACTGTAATATTCACAATAAAATGTCAGAAGGAAAATGGACAAAATCACCCCAAAAGGAAAATTGCTAATAATGCCACAATCAAGAATTACCAATTTACAAGAGCAAAAACAGAAATGTCGACACCAATCTTCTGCTGAATCCTTAATTTTTGTAATCCATGGAGTGCCATATTCGTTACCAAATCCGCTGTTCAAAGAATCTCAATCTGTATAACTCTAGCTATATAAAAACATGCTCCACCAGCTATTAATAATTAGTCAAAGAAATTGAAGTAACAACAGATTCATCAAATGGAAATGTGTCTTCAAAATCCAGAATGCGCTTTCAACAATTGCCTTCTCTTGATTATTATAAACGCCACCACACAGATCTGCAAGATCGCGGCAATACCCACAAACATTAACCCAAGTCTCTTCCCCCAATTTAGCTTCGTTTCCTTTTGTGGTGGGCTTAATTTAACATTAGACTTACGGTGGTCTTGAGGGTGGTGTGAATGTTCCTTTTCTGAGGATTTAATCTTGGGAGGAGGTGGCGG